TATATATATGTATTTTTTGTACTTTAGTCAATCAAATTAATGGGATTAATTACTTATATTATTGTTAGATAATTATTCTTCTTAAAATACAATTATTATTATTATTATATAATTATTCATAAGTAACAATAAGTAATATTTATAAGAGAATATCTGATAGGATGTCTGATAGGAGAAAAATAGATATCTTATCAGTGGCTTCTTATTGATGTTTGCGGATTAAGACCTCAAATTAGAACCTCATTACTAAATCAATTGAAATCAAATACAATTTCAGGCTAACTTCCGACTATTTTTTAGTATATATGTTACTAGCTGTACCCAGCCACGTTTCTCTGTGGCATATTATGGTTAAGAGGGCACTTCTGAATACATCAAGGTTCTGGCAAAATCATCTTCCTGGCATAAGGTGAAGAAGGCAGTCAGAGTTGTCGCTGGCCGATTCAGGACTCTTTCTTGCACATTTTTTTCTGTGAAATAGACACGTTGACCATTCTCCAAATGGACTGCCACGTTTCTCTGTGGCATATTGTGGTTGAACGCATAAGAAATAAGTCAAACAAAAAATAATCATTTTCAAATTAATTTAATTCTGTAATACTTGTTGGTATACAATATTCTTTGTTTCTCCATTCTCCGCGTAAATATAAAGACTTTTTGGTTTTCCGACTCGTGAGAACGCAACATATAATTGTCCGTGTGAAAAACAATCTTCATCCAAATCTAGATTCAGAGATTGTCTTTGAGCTTTATTAATTAATTGCGAACGCCAAACGAATGGGAAACTGCAATCTCTTGAACTGGCACGGTGTATCTGTCGGGATCATAGGAATCCTAGGAATGAGGACATCTTCACCTTTGAAAGGACCAGTTATGATCGTTGCTTCTACTATGTTGTTCATCAATTTCTTGGCTGCGAGTCGCGTACCGTTGCAGAGTTTCGGCTGATTTATATTCCGGAGCATGATAATCGGCACACCTATTTTTAATTTCAATATGTGTGGTGGCATTCCAGGCAGATCAAGTGAGTTTAGAAATTCGGTAGGGTAATTAACTGCTTCCTCTGCCTCCACAACGGTATCTATCGACTTATATGTAATTTCGTCAGTTTCTATGCTTTTTTGGATTACATGACATCTTTGTTCTTGGCAGCGAGAATCGCTCGTCCACTGAGCCAATCGTGATTCCTATAATTTATTCGGATATCGGGGAACACTTTTGGATAAGTTCTTCCTTCCGATGTAACTAAATTACAGGTTTTGATCTGCTGCAAGCTGTAAACGCGCTTCAGCTACCCTTGCCCTGTCGCGTTCATTATTTTGAGAGTGAATCAAATCGACTGCTGCAGAACGCGACTGCCTAACTCTCAATCGTTTTCTCTCAAGCCTATCTGCTCGTCTATCTGCTGATTCCTCTATGTGCATTTGCATTGCTCTCTGCCGCTCAGTCTCTCGGAAGGAGGCCCGTTCTTCGTCAGTCATATTCGTAATCTTACGTCTTTTTGCTTCTGTATTGCGAATACAACGACCCAATCTCGACTTTTTTTGGTGGCATGACTTCGTTTCTTACTGAACCTGAACAAAAAATAAAATTTGTATCTCCAATTTCTTCTTTCAATATGTTTTTAATGTTTGACAGGAAATGCTTTGATTTGCTTGTAGAGGGCGCAATAGTAGGGGCACGGGGAAACGCTAAAAAAATAGATATATTCGCAACCGCAGATAAGCTATCAACATTAAAAGTAGTCAATAACCGAGCTGGAACCTCAACGCATGTTCTTTAAAAATTTGGGCATAAACGGTTCAGAACTTTTCAAGTTTCTTCTTTCAATATGTTTTGAATGTTTGACAGCAAATGCTTTGATTCAGCTGGCTGCCTGTAGATGGCGCAGCAGTAGGGGCACTTGGAAATGCTAAAAAAATAGATATATTCGCCACCGCAGATAAGCTATCAACATCAAAAGTAGTCAATAACCGAGCTGGAACCTCAACGCATGTTGTGTAAAAATTTGGGCTTAAACGGTTCAGCACTTTTCGAGTCTATGAAGGATGTAGACACGAACAGAGCATTTTTATATATATAGATATATCACCCAACAATTTTTCGCTGTGCAAAGTATCCGCTAGATACTCACCATCCAAAGCAGTGCCTAGCTGCTTTTGCCACGTGCATGCACAATATACATATATACATACATATACCATATTGCACAATGCAGTCGCCGCGGAAAGGCACAAACGGGACAGGACAGAGAGCTCTCTTTAATGAGCTCATTTATTAATTAGACAAACGTGACGTCAGCACAGCAGACCGGAGGAAGAGACCCCTGCATAACTTCGACCTTTAAAACAGCAGTTAACCTCAGGAAGAGCGCGTGCGACAGTTGAGTTCCATTGATCGGATCCGTTTCATTCATATATATGTATATGTATATCCATTCATTGTTCCTATATAGTACTTGGTACGTGGGCCATAAACTAATTTCGGGCAGACGGTGAGGACAGGGAAAACAGCTTGAGTTTTTCCACAGACAAGCTGCGTTCAACGGAAGTGAAGGCAGGCAGGCAGAGGCAGTCGAGAAAAGTAGCCCATCAGTAGAGCCAGACACGTATCTAACAGATAAAAATAGAGGCAAATACGTGCATTCAAATCAGCGCAGCCACGAAATATTTGAAAATCGAGTGAAAGGCTGAAACGCATTTCAGCTGAAATGACGCAGCACCACCAAACCGGTGAGGTTTTCTGAAAACAACAAAAAAGCAAGAGGGGCGACAGATTAAATGAAAAATCGTAGTAAGGGTTCATTTGTGTATCTGCAACTTTCACACATTTCCAACTGCATTGTTTCCCTTTCAAGTGGTTCGTATGGCATGTTTTTGGCGCGAGGGTTGATTTTGCATAGTTGCTGTCGGGCACCACTCCGACCTGTGCCACCATTGATCCACCCGATCCCATACATGTACCCTTCGGATCCCGGATATACGATCGCAACCCTCAACCCCTGTGTGACCTCTCCCGCTTTCAGGGCAGGTAGTTGCCAATCCGAATTTGGACATCGCGCCAAAAAAAATATTAATAATAATAATGAAGCAAAAGAAATCTGTACAGTGAAGCCTGGTACTGTAGGGGTCTTTTATAAGTTTAGTCTGTGAAGGAGTAATTTCCGACCCTTTAACTCATATATGTATATTCTTGATCAGCATCAACAGCCAAGTCAATCTAGTCATGTCCAGTAAAATAATAAATTTTCGGAATTTTTGCAATTTCTTCAATTTTTTAAAGTTTAATTTGAGTATGCAGATTAAATACCCTAATAGATACTTACCTAGGAATGCGTTCTGTATCAAAATTAATTCATTTTTAACTAAGTTATGATCAATTTTAGCTTAATGGGTATACAAGATTAGAAACTATGTATGTTAAAAAAATAATATTTTAAGGAAACATAATTATCATAATTATTATATTATTATTATCTTCATTAATTTCTGTTTCAAATTTACTATCTCCGTCACGAATAAAACAAAAACAATTCGGAGAAGTTGTAAGCTTAAGAGGTTTTCCTTTCTTTTTTTTTCAGATCTTTAAGCACCTGAAAACTCTTCCTCTTTTTCGAGTACCCACTGTACCCATTCTGAACAATAATAAATCGCAATCCTTTTGGGTGCGGCCTTTGTTCGGGCCACTCTTTAAAATGACTAATCGGTTCAGAGTCCAGTCCCGGCGATGGTCCAAAGAGTCAGGTCAGACGGGAGATCCAGGGACCAGGAGGAGATCCGACCAGCTGCTTGATTTTTTAGTTTCAGTTCCCGTTGTTGTTGCCTCTGCCGATTGTGACTCAGCAATATTGAAATTACTTGTGGCCCACATTCACATTTGAGTGTTATTACCAACTTCTACCTCCTACCTCTATTTCTATGCGGTTTTTCAACTCTTTTCACTTTCGTTTGTTGAGCGTTACGCTTGAATTGCGTCTGTTTTTTTTTTAGATTTCTTTCCAGTTTCCAGGGAATTGTTTTTTTGTTCCATGTAATTTGTTACCAGGCACGTCGAGGGGCCCAATTAGGCCGTTTAATGCCGCATGAAATGAAGCCCGGCTGTGACCTTGAGCTAGGGCCCAAAAAAAAGCCCGTCAACATATCATTTTAGTCGTTATTTGTGTGTAACCAAACTACAAACAAAAACACACACACACACACACACGAAAGTGTAGAATCTAGCATAACTAATTGTATTTACACGCCATAAATGTAAGTAATTGGCACACGGAAAACAGATTCACTTTCCATACAGTTGTTACATGTAAATATTAAATATCGTAAGGTCCAGAGTCTAGAAAGGGGAAGCTAGTTGCTGTGTAATAGATAAGGGCTCTCTCATTGCTGGACACTCTCTCTCTCTCTTATTTCCCCAACGAAGCTTGTGAAGAAGGTGACGCATGCTTGGAAAATACTTCTACTTTGTGGTGTGCTTTGTTGCAGATCGTGGTGTCATTATATTTTTTACTTTTTTATAGCCTAAAATATATATATGATAATATTAAATTATTCTCTTAAAATTGAAAAATCCCAAAAAGTTCTCAATTCAATAATTCAAATTTGGCGATTTTGTTAATACGAAAAACAAGTAATTATAATGTTCAATCAATTCATTAAACAAAGAAACCAAAATATAAACCGAGCGAAATAAATGCACTTTGTGACGTCATCGCATATTCGCTCTATTCTCTTTGTTCTGCTACACAACCTTTTCAAAGCCAACAAAAGCTAAACAGTGGTCTAAAAGTGAGCAATAGCGGGAGAGAGTGTTGCGAGAGAGCTTGCTGCGAGAGAATGTTGCCAGACAAATGTTGCGAGACTAAAAGACTTCAAGAGTAACAGGGTTAACGCGCTAGAGAGAGTGTTGCGAGAGAGCATGTTGCGAGACAATGTTGCTAGCGCTGGTCGAAATTACGGTATATAAAGAAAGAGGGACAGAGAAAAAACTCAAAACAGCGGCTACGTTGTTGTTGGAACGAACTAAAAAAAAGAAGAAAAAGAAAAGAAACGGCGTTAAAAACAATAATTTTTTACGGGCTACACGGCAGATGATTTTCCGAAAAGAAGAAAACTCCACAAACTCGAAATACAAAAAACGTCTCACGTTCGGTTGTGTTTTTAACTTTTATTAACAAATAGAAAATATTGCAATTATAATTGCAGTGTATTTTGCATTTCACTTTGCTTTGTGAAAGTCGAATTTGTGATTTGCAAGTGAGAAAAAAACCAGCAAACCGAAACCACAATTGCAAAATGCATCAAATATGCACGTGAACTTCGCACAGTGTACGAGTGTGCGCAGGTGTGGTTGTGTGTATGTGAAAGTTCGAGTGAAAGTAGCTTGAAAATAGGAAAAAAAAATAAAATAGCTAGCTACAAATACAGCACTTGCACAGCTAAACCAAAATAAATAAAAATTAAAATTATATATAAATAAAATCAAAGAAACACTGACAGAACCATGACTCTGTGTCCGCCAATAAATCTGCATCCCACCCACCGTCCCTGCGCCCTGCGTCCGGCGGCGCCCTCGCCCTCGGAACGGAGGAGCATCGCCCGGAATTTATTTGGCAATGCGCCCGGCGACTCGAACATCGACGAACTGCTGGCCAAGGAGCAGCGCAAGATTGTCATCCGCATCAAGGAGCACTACAACTTTGATATCCTGGCGGAGGAGCAGCGCGAACAGGCGGCGGCTGAGATCACCGGTCAGCGGTATCCCTATCAATCCGTCGTCTTGGTGACACCACCGCTCAGCGATTCTGCCAGCCCCAAATCCTGTCCAGAAACAGCACCGCCCTCGATGGGCGCCGGTGTGGCCATTTCCGCCGCACAGATCTCCATTGCCATCAGGCAGATGAGCAGCAACAGCAGCAGCAGCAGCAGTTCATTGGATCTCGCCAGCAACAACAACACGATAGATGGCCAAAAGACAAGGCAATCGTTGGGCCTAAAACGTAAGTATTTTTGGTGACATACTTAATCTAAATAAAATAAAATAAAGTAGGAAAAGGCAGGAGATTTTACTTTGATTTTCAGCTAAAAGTAGCAAAGCTCCCAAAAGTTACATCAGATTAAAAAAATGTATATTTCTAGATTCCCCTGAAAAACAAGCATATAGCCATTTTGTATCTATTAATTTTGAGTTGTTTTCCGGAATCTGGCAATATCCATTTAATATTAATCAAACCATTTAAGCTTGATTTATTCTCATATATCTCTTTTTTTCTCAAATGTATCTCAGTATTTCACAATCTTGAAAAAAGCAAAGTTGAGATACGCATCTTAGAGTTCGAGCTGTGCAGTTCCAAAGTTCCATTTTATTAGCTCGTTCCAAAAACAGGATTGTTACGATCCATTCAAATTGTTTATATGCTATTTGTAATTATATTTTCAGTTAAAATATGTACAATCTTATTTAATTTATTAACTTTTTCATTGTGCAAGAAACATAAAAATTTGGATTCATATAGAGTTATACGGTTTTTTCGTAGTTTTGTCCAATAAGCGGGCACCTGATTTTCATTCCCTTTTCCGTTTTTTCTTCCCCTTTGCGTCCTTTACTTTGTCCTCTCTGTCTCTTCTCTTTTTGAATTTCACCCCTATGCATTTCTATCCCTTGTTTTGGAGAAACCCACCCTTGCTATGGGATCTTTCTAATTTTATATTTCCTTTCGTGCCTTGATTCTTATTGTCATTTCATTTGTCCTCTTCTCTATTTTTGGTTTCGTTTTGTTTTCCCGATTTTCTTTTGGTTTCATTCAGGTGCATATTTGAAGTGTAAAACAGAAACCGAAACAGATATAGATATAGTTAGATAGATACATATGTAGGGAACCTAAAGAAATCCAATCGATAAACAATTAATTCGTTGATTTATTTATAGGACATTCAACTATATTTTTTTTAATATTATAAATTTTAAAAATATATACATATTTCTTGTAAAACTATAATAGTTTACGAGGTTCTAGTCTCGCTGAGAGTACTGTATGATAAGATACGATACGGCCTTTGGTTATTTAACCACTAAAGGGCTCGGATCAATATTTGCAACAACTGTGCACACATAATGCACTCTACACTTTGGCTGTTTGTTGGTGTTGTTGTTGAGTTGTGTGTGTTGTTGGACGGGCCTTAAGTGCCGTTAATGCCCCTTTTTATCGGTTTGTTTGACAGGGCTCGGCTCTGCCCCTTATTCCCTCCCTCACTTTCATAATCATATTCATTTCACGTTTTTTTTTTTCGAATATCTTCTGCTTAAACGAAAGCTTGTTTTTCAGTTTTTGTTTTGATAGAGGTTTGTTATTTTGCGCCGTTCCATTTTGCCCTGTTTCCTAACCACTTACGATACGAGAAACACTACGAATTTTATTCACACTTCGCTTTCATTGTGGAGCTGCCCCATTCCCCGTCGACTTCGTTATCAATTCCACATGTCAAGGCCCATTTTCGTTATTGACTCTTTGGGTAGAAAGTATCACCAAGTATATTGAATTACTCCTTAACTAATCTAAACCCACAGTTGGGATTCTATATATCGAATTTCCCAGCTTTAGCTTAATGTAGGGATAGTTTAAAAATACTTTTCTTGGCATTAATAAAATGTTACAACTCATAGCTTACGATACTTTGTATCTCTTCTGTATGTATGTATGTATCTTAAAGATATTTATACCTTTTCTTGATCTTTGCTGCATTTTAGTTATTATTGCATAATATTGAAATACTTTTAGAGAGCACAAAATACTCATTTGAAATACAATAATGAAATAATTCACATGTTCTTGATCCATAAAATACAAATTTTCAATTAAAAATTTATAGATTTTTGCACAGTTTTTAAATTGCAAATTAATAGAAAACTATTTTGTAAACTTTGAGTTCTAGTAGACGTTCGACTGTACCTCCATTTGTTGGTTTATTGTTATTTATGACTGATTTACTTTGCGCTGATATTCCGCTGATAAATCGTGGCAAACAGAGTGGGCAAAGGAGAGAAGGAGGAGGAGGAACAGCAAAGAACGAGAGCGAGAGAGAGAGGGATCAGCGGAGGAGAGCGAGAATTGTCGCCAGTTTGTCTTTGATTTGGCAGTGTGTCAAAGCGAAAAAGCTAAACAACAAACTGTACGCCAAAATAAAAACTGTTGAATAACAATCGCGCGCCAAAAATCTTTCTTCGTCCGATCTACGCGAGATTGCAACCAAAAAAAAAACTCAACAGAAAGAAAATCGAAAAGAACATGAGCAGTTGCTGGCAATTAATTGAGAGGGCTCAATTAAATTTAAATCAGCGCCAACGCCTTCTGGTTTTTGTTGTTCTCATCATGCTGCAGCTCTTGCAGGCGAAAAAAATTGTATATGAATAACAACAACAATAACAAGACCCAACTACTTGGCACACGCCTGCGACTGTACACGGATTGTTGTTGTACTTGTAGTTGTAGCTCCCACTTTGTTGTTTTTGCTTTTTTTGTATTCTGCCTTGAAAGCCGCACCCACGACGACAAACGCAATCTCAACAACAAAACGAACGGCGAGGCAACAACAAGCAGCGTCACTCTTATACGACGACGTCAGCCCACTCGCACACACTCACATACACTGACTTCATATATGTATATTTAAGGAGAGTGGAAGAGACAAAGAGAGAGAGAGAGCTGTGGTGGTGGTGCTGCCATCCCAGCCTTATTCTCTGACAAATCTAGCCGTTTTTACTAAAAAATACTGAAAACTCGCCAGATTTGAAAACTGAAATTATTTTTAGTTTTCTTAGGGCTATTTTGCGCTAAAACTAATAGGCAACCACTAAAAACTTAAATTACTTTTGTATAAAAACCCATATGTTTCTCATGTTTTTGAAAAGAATGTACATACGTTCTTTACCATCTTCTTCAAAAAATAAAAGTTTAATTTAATAATGAAATTAAAAATCAACAAAATTTTTATGTTTAGGTTTAAGGAAGGGTACTTTTGTAAAAGGTTGCAAAGTGGTCCTTGTCTCTAGAATCAGAGAGCTTTATTTTGTGTTTTAAAAATCCTGGCAGCACTCTCATTTCGCTGAGAGAGACTCAGCCTCTTGTTTGTTTGTCTCTGCCCTGCTGATGATATTTTTTGCGTTTTGGCGCGAATTTCGTATTTTTCGTGTTTATTTTTAGTTGTCTTCGCTGATAAGCAGTGCTCGTGTGTGTGTGTATGTTGCTGTTATTATGCGTAGTACTACGCACGCACGTTGTTGATGTTTTTCAAAACTCGTCGTGAAGGTCACACACACAGGCGCACATGCAGATCGCGTAGTACAGCAGCGCCAAATGTTGTGTTTTTGTTGTGTACTTTTGCGGCAGGTCCGAACCGAAAAAAACGGGTCCAAATGTGGAGGAAAAAAACAAATCAATTAGACACCAGTTCTGTTATCTCCTCCACCTCTCGCTCTCTCCCTCGCTTTTGGCATGTACTGTACTTTTCACACAGTTATTTGGCTTAGCGCGTTTTCTGCTTTTTGTTTTGCTTCGGCCTTTTCGCCACGCCCCAAAAAGCAAGAAGTTATGTGTTGTTATGGGATTCCTCGATTCTTCGGAAATTTATGTTTTCTAATTAAGTATGCTGAAGAAACTCTCTCGCCAAGCTCCCATATAAATATTTATAATGTGAATTCTTTGTTGCTGTTCCTGTTCTCATCGCCGCCTCTCTCTCCACACACATTTCGTAAACAAAACGCGTTTTGCTGTTGCTTGAAAAGGGGGGGCTGGCGGTGGGAGAGAGTACGGAGGGAGCGAAAGCTCCTAAGCTGCGTGCTCATAACGATAACGGTAAACGCACTCTCCGTCATTCACCTCCATATTACAGAACTCTCCTGCTCCCGCTTTCTTTCGCTCCCCCTCCATCTTGTTCCACCCGCTCATTACAATAGGCGAACGTTTTATTTTTTGCCGATTTCCCCGTATGCTTCTTCTTCGCCTGCGTTTCGCTTGACGTTCTTTGTCGCTGGCTTATAATTTTCTATAACTGTACATTTGATTGTATCGCCGGCAGCGCGACTCTTTGGCTGCCAGTCTCTTTCTCTACCGTGGGGCTTACAGGTTGCTTCTGTAAAGTTGTAACGTCCCCTAGAAAGTTAATAGCTTTTAAAGCTTTGAATAATTGTTGTTCTTGTTTTTATATAGAGTTAACGTTGTCTAAGAACTTGTTACTTTTTTATCAATTAAAACTACAGCTGGAAAAACTGAACTTCAAAGTTTGAAAAACAAATAAAATATTTCGAAATTATGTAAATATCAAACAATAATGCAATATGTATCTTTTTTATCTAATAAAAATGTTTCTCATGTTATTTATTTATAAATAAGCAAGCCAGAATGGCTTATTAGATTAACATTCTTGACTCATAGAGACGCCATAGAAACATCTAATAGCAAGTGTGCTTTAGTATTCGGTTTTCTAAGCTGAACTTGGGGCCTGTTTCTTGTTTTTGTATTCCCCCTCTCCCAAGCCTTTTGTGGCTGTGTCGTTTAGCTTTTCAGCTTTTAGGTCACTGCGCAGTGGCTGCGGTTTCGTGAGCGTCTCCGACGATCGTCTAAGCTCCGGCTAGCGGTTCACTACACAACGCGATGAGGCAACCGCAGCTGCCCGCGATCGAGACCTGATAGAGGAGTACAGTCTAACCCATCTCTAATGCTAACTAGTATTCGCCGCAAAAAAAAGGGGGGCTAGTTTTGGAGACTTTTCTCTACAAATTTAATTCTCTACAGAGAAGTTTAAAGAGATTTAGAACTCTTTATCGTTTCACTACAATAAGTCCGACTGTACTTGATTATAAGCTACACAGCTGCGTATAAAAAACAATCTATAATTTGCGAGGTTGATGTGCTATTTGGCTATCTATCGGAACGCATTCGTCGTGGGGCGATCGTTCGCCTTTATAGATTATTATAGACTCAAGAAAAATTCCCTTTTCCCCCCGTATGCGTTTCTGCTACCCACAAAGCGGCAATTATCGCTGCGGCCATGACATTTATTTATCGGCTAGCCAATGACCAGGTATGGGTTCCCTCCGAATACATAGGTGTTCTAGATTGCACAAGTGTGCATAATTCTGTCGCTCAGACAGCGAGATAAGGAACGCTCTACGAAGAAGCAGAAAAAAATAAAGGAAAACATACAAACACCCACTGACACGTATTCAGTTGCAAAAATGCAATTCGATTTGCACACCTTAACATTGCTTTCCCTTTTGGCCTCTCTGAAGGTCAAACAAAATGACGCTTGCACTTTTATTTTTATTTTTCCATTTGCTACTTTTGAGGTGTGACTAAACACAAACTTTGTAGCTATTCAATGGAGATTACAAAGGTATATGAATAGTAGTGATAACATTTAGGAAAGTATAACTATCTTACGGTTATAAATCGAAACCAACTTAGTATCTTAAGTTTTAAAAGCTTTATCTATTTTCCCTATTCTATATTTTTACTACAATATTTTTCCAATTTCTTGATCATTACAGGCAAGCTTCGCGTTCGCAAAAATGTGCCAAAAATCATCAAGAAGAATTATGAGATCAGTAACATCAACAGCAACAACAATGTGGATAACGGGACTAGCGAATTGGGGGATGCGGAACAGTAATTTTAAAGTAAAAAGACGACTGATCATCGGCAGCCCCTGGCGGAGCAACAATTGCAATATATGATATTTATTGTAAACGTAATTTTAATTTTTTTTAAATAATTTGTTTATATCTATTTTTTTTGTGTGTACACCCCATTGTACATTTTGTTTAAACCAAGACTGCGGTCCCCCAAATAATGTTGCATAAAGAGAAAGAGAGAGAAAAAAAAGCAAAAAAACGAAAAACAGCCAACCAGAAACAACAAAAAAAAAAAAAAAAAAAAAAAAAAAAAAAACAAAACCAGAAAAGATCGGAGCGCGTGCACAGCCAAAACAGGCAAAAATATAATATAATATTAAATACATCCGGATGCATGGCGATCGATATAATTATGGAAATTATTAAGTCGTAGATATATACTAAAAATTATTTATGTGTAAAAAGGAAATTATATTTGTACATTGGCAATATATACGTAAATTGTGGCGAGACAGCGAAGTACACTTCAATTCGCTGGCGGTCGTAGACTTACGAAATAGATTAAATTGTAATTAGGCAATGCTAATTTTAGACGATGACAGATCGGCGCCATGCATCCGCTATATAGACTCTTACCCCCAAATCCAAAAAAAAAAAACAAAAACAAAACCAATTCAAGCGTTCTCAGCGTGTTTTCGGATCCTGATGCATGCGTGTGCCAAAAGTATTTACAATTTACTTTGTGTCATGATCTCAATCATTAAAAACAATTTTATTATTTTGTTTATTGTAATTATAATTGAAATTATCTAAAAAACAAATTTCTTCTTAGCCCCACCCCCCACCAAACCCACACAAACACTCACTCATACACACACACACACTTTTACACATACACCCACACCACCCCCCTCTAAACTCATATTTATTGTATGTACACTATAGATGTGACATTTTAAATTGTATGTACTGTACCATGATGAACTGTATAAATAATATTTCGTATCTGTGGCAAAATGAATTTCCTCCCTCTAAAGCCCCCTTAAAAAAAAAACCCAAAATCTATTTTTGAACAACCTAACTGTGTATATTGTATGGAGAAGTACTAAAAACTCCCAGCAGCTAAATGAGAAAACTCACGAAAAAAAACAACAAAAACAAACACTGTGTATATTTCCTTAAACGAAACTAAACAGTAATTTTTGTAAAACTTACGCAATCATAAAAAACACTTTATCACAAAGAAAAGAAAAAAAACTACAAAAAAAACTCTTAAAAATACAAATGTAAAACAAAAAAAAACTTTAAAAGCTTTTTATTTTCTGGGGGCCCTTTTTGGGACGAGATGGCGTGATTATTCTCAAGCGTAAAGAAAAGTCGAAAAGTTGGTGAAGAACATGAGTGGGGAAAGATAAAAAAATAAATAGATGGAATGACTCAGCTTTGAGCTCCGGATGCATCAGTTGCCCCATTAGACAAGGGCCATTCTCTTCTTTGCAGGCACAGTGGGGCTTCGATAATGTGAAAAAACCTAAGAAAACTCAAATTAACAGAGGATGGTCTAGATGTTAACATTTTTCTACCGTATCAATTTTGTAACTTTCGTCCCACTTTTCCTGATAAAAGTGAAATGGGCTTATAATATTATTAAAACATACACATTAAATTCAAAAAATAATTTTACCATTATAATAAAGAGCAAACGGTTATATTTTACGAGGTATTACTGTATTACATTCCCTGCAAAGGTTCGGAATGCAATCAAAAAAGTGAAGTGGAAAGGAAGTCGAACCTTCTCCAATTAGTAGGCTTTCCTCTATTCGCTTTCATCGCTAATCACCCGTACCAGTTGAGAGGCTTCACTGTGGGTACTCGTGGGCAACACTTGTCTGCCTATCGATAGACGTAGTACTGTACATATGGCCGGCGGACATTTGGGAAAATGCTTTCTAGTCGTAATTTACTTGCTATCCGTTCGTATGTGTGTGCATATCTATGTTATGCTATGTTATGTTATGTGGCTGGTGGAGTGGAGTGGGCACTTAACATTAGATTGGCTGCGACTTCCGGCAAACAAACGATCGCTGGGCGTCTGATGATGATGATTGATGCTATCCAGGGTTCTTTATTCCCCTGACATTCCCCCTTTTTTTTCATAATCTAAATCAAAACTATGGTTTTCCGTTGCTCTTGGGTATTCATAGAACGGTTAGAAACAGTTTAGTTCTAGGGATTTATGTATCTTTTGATTTTATTTAGTTTTGAAATTACAGTTTAAGTCTTAGAGATTATTTAATGAATGCTGTTAAGGCAGGTATAATGCGTTTTAAAATAATAACACATAATACTGTAAATTTTTTAAGCTTTTAAATATAAGACAATGAGCTATTCCGAAAAATACAACTATGTGAAAAGACTAGTTGTCTTAAATTAATTAAAACAAAAGAGATAAGTATCTTCAAGAAGCCGAAATGTGTATACCCTTGAAGTTTGCAATTCAATTATTTGAATCGATCATAATTAATCTTAAATTATTCACACTATTTGGTTCGTGTATTTTATAGCAATTTTAATGACAAAATTTATGTTTAAAAACACTTATAACTGCTGAAAATGTATTAATTTAAGTTCGGAAAGTTTTTCAAAGCTAGTTTTTATTAGGCTAATAAATCTGCATAATCAATTATAAATTTAAAAAAATTAAAATTTTTGCTAATTTTTGAAAATTTTAACGATGTAACCCCTTATCTTTTTTTTTTTAATTTCTCAAATTTATTTATTTTCCGTACATAGCTAGATAAATTCATCTGTAGATTTCGATCAAGAATATATATGAGTGATAGGGTCGGAAATATCTCCTTCACAGCTTTACAAGCTTCTGACAAAAATTACAATACCCCGAAGGGGTAAATGAATGTATCTGATGTATCTAAATCATATCTATCTTTTCTGCTGTACCTTTATTTATTGCGATTTCCAAAGCACGATTGAAATCAAAAACGGGAACAGCTTACCCAACCGTCTTAGAAAAGTTGCACTTACATATGAACATATGTACGTATGTATTAACATTAGTTCTTTATGGCTTCTGTTGCTATGCGAGGCACTTGCTCTCTTGAGCGAATCAAGAATGCAATATGCTATATAATAATGGCACTGGCATAGAAAGCAAATTACATGCTCTGCATTTAGTAACAAGCATGTACAACATATTTGCCCACTTAACTAGCGGCCTGGTACGGTTATTAGCATGCAATTTCAAGATTTTAATGGCTCTGCACTCGCATTGCAGTCACATTATACATATGTACATATATACATATAGTTATACTGATGTATATATATATGTACAAGTATCTACACAAGCACGCACTCAAGTAACGCAACAGAGCTCAGGCCTACAATCGAGGTGAAATTAATAGCACAAGATGTTATGTTCAGTTTTGACCTTTGAATAATCCGAGCTTGGTAAAAATGTAACAGAAATTTAAATAATGTCATATATATTTGATAATAACCTTTTCCAAGACATATTTATTACAAATTTTTATTTGGTTTAGCAATGAAATATTTAACTGTCAATATATTTATGATATAAATAAAATAAATTTTATATTTGTGTATATAGATAAATACATATTTTGTAGATACTTTTTATTTAATTTATTAATACCTAGTCCAAATAATCTTTTAGTCCTAATTTTATCAACTTGACTGTAGAACCTGTGATCGAGGAAGGGAAAGGCAGAGAGAAAGGAAAGAGAGACTCAGCTGGCAGAGGTGTTTGCCGCTGCGATTCGCAATTCCCATTTTCGACTGCGCAGCCGCAACGCTGCCTTTTCCTTTGCCTTTGCATTCGCCTCGCAATAAATTCAAAGTTGAAAAGCAAAATTTATGACGTCGGTGGTTGCCATAACGGTACTGCTAAGCCAGCGCCATTAAAAAAATATATATGTATGCACATACATATGTGTAAGAAGAAAAACAGGGTGTGGCTTTGTTGTAATTGTTGTTTCTCTATTTCTTTTTATTTCACAATTTTTATTTCTGATTCTGCTGCTGCTAAAATCACAATAATTTATTGCGCGGAATTTAATTGCATTCCGTTTTCGCATTAATCACCATTAATGTCAGCGCCTGCATTCGAGTTGGGGTGCAATGGCTGGAAAAGCGTGAAAAGCGAGCCAAGGCCATCCTCAGACAGTTGTATGAAGTTGGGATTGAAATCAATCAGCCCTGAAATAAGGTTCCCCCATCAAGCGATTCCTTCCACACTTAAAACAAAACACTGAAGATTTTAATATATACAAATGTATCTTAAGTTCCAAGTACAGATACATTTTAGATTAAGAAATGCTCGATTGAATTTACGAGGTGTTTGTCTAGCATCTTAGGTATCTTGAACATTAAAAATTATTTAATTCGATAAGTTTGTATAAAAATTCTTAATTGAAATATTAAATTGCAAAAATATTAAATAAAATATTAAAATATAAAGCTTAAGTAAGCAGATGTATTGCATTGGCCAGGTGACAGTTTTGGGGTTAAAGGGCAATCACTATCACTGCCACTATCACTACAGATGTTAACAGTGGGGAGGCCGCGAACAGAATGAGGACGGTGGGAGGGTAGCGCCTGGTATTTATAGTCTCCGAGTAAAGAGAACAACAGAGAGTGAAAGTGAGAGCACGCGGGAGTAAGTGATATCTCTAGAGACACATAGAGATTGAGAGGGAGAAAGAGAGGAAGAGGCAGAGAGATGCCTACTAAGCTGAGAATCTGGCTTCGGTAGAACCGGAGAGACGGATGGACAGATGGACATGGCTAGTTCGACTTGGCTGTTTATGCTAAGTCCCTTTGGCTTAGATATGAGTTTTTTAAACTTTGATATATAGATTCAAAGCATGATCAATTTTCGATTCGATGCTATAATTTAATGACAAACTTTAAGGATATATAACATAAACTTTGGGTGCACGAAGTTAGTTTCCTTTCTTTTTTGTATTACTTTATATTTTGTTTTTATAAATTATTCTTTTCTCAGTTGGTAATGAAAACTTGTATAAATTAATATTTTTAATTTAAACATTTTAAGCAAATTAAAGAATCATGTTTCAGTGTGGACCGCATGACGTGAGGTCAGCAAAGGGGAAAAAAGCGAAGTGGAGCTGATCCCTCGGCCACTGCTCTAATCTCCTGACCAAGTTGTGGCTTTGCATCATTTCCCTGAACCTACACGACTCGGATCATTTGCTGTATATACCCTAACTCAGTGCGT